CAGATAGAAGAATACTAGCTAGCATGCCAGATGCTGGGAATGCCAGGATGGCAGCCTGATGATGCTTCCTTTCCACGAAGCCTCTGGGATTGCTGAAATGAGCTGTGTTGCCACACCGAAGTAATGCTATCCCATTAAATCATCAGAGGGGAAAAGCTAGCAGCCTATGCTGAGCAGAGCTTTGGTCTTACACAGGCCCTGCTGCCACTGCATGTCCATCTCACTTACCAACTGTGCTTATTGGACAGCTGTCCAGCCGGTCCTTCTGGTCCAAGCTCAGGTGACTTCAGAATAAAATGTGGTGTCTTAGGCCAGCTGGACTGCTAGATCCTTTGTTTACCAATCACTATGGGCAAAAGGGACATTCCCTGTGACCAAGATCCAATCATTCTTAGTATCTTCGCTGACCGCCAGGAAGAACTGGCAGGGCATCTGAGGAACATGTCCTTGGCCGGAACAGTCATGATAACCTAGTCAGTTACCAACACAATATCCAAATCAATAGCCATCACGATAACCTAGTCAACAGCCAGTCACTGACCTCTGTAACAACCTAAATCCCTGAGCTTTTGTCAATGAAACAAAACACTGGGGAAAATACTTTCACTCACAGTGCCAGCTTGAGAATAATGTAGATTATAAGAATGAAAATCCTGATTTCTGCCCTTTGGTTCACAGTATAATTTTGATTGATTTGCATAAGTCTTAAAAGTTTCATTCTCACAACTGAATGAAATAATATTTGTGAAAGGCAGACCAAAAATTGATAAGCACACTGTACGTATGAGAAGTTATTTAACTAAATAGAGAAAATTCAACTTGTCCTCTCATGCCTTCTCCAGACACAGTACCATGCAGCACTGAAAAAAGTCCTTGGCCTTCGGGGTCCACGTCTCCCTCTGCGGCTCTCCCACTTGGGAGCTGGATAATTCCACAGGGGAATGAAACCTCAATGAAAGGAGCCATACAGTGGGCCCAAGCAGTAAACTTGGGTCTACATAATCCAAGCACCAGCCTAGCCACACATTTAATAAGTGGAAAAAGCAACACAAAAACAAAGAACTCTCCATTTTACAAACACTGGGAGGCAACAGCTGGTCCTTGGAGATTAAAGGAGCGTGAGAGAGCACCTCCCCTCTCCTGACTTCTCCTCCCCTACAGAGGTCCCTGAGTCAGCCGGCCTGTTTACAGGCCTGTGCAGATGACCTTGTTCCAGCCAAGATAGGGGTCCTTTTGATCTCAGCAGGGGGATGCTCTGGGCCTGCAGCTGGTAGATATTAATAGTAGGGATCATGGGGTAGAAGAGATCTCTCAGTTGGGCCAGGTCACTTGCATTCCCTGTTCTGTGTCAGAGCAGAAGAAACTTCATTTCCCAAACCAGCCCCTGCTGGGTACTTCGCTCAGGTCAACTCGGATCATTTTATCGCTGGCTGCCCAGTGGCCGCTAGTTCTCACCAACTCTTTGCAAGGGAGTGCCTTTTAAACGGTGCCCTCTGTTCTGCAGCTGAAATCCATTACAGGTCAGGGGGGACCTCAAGCTCACTCATCAGGGTGTTTCCCACTTGCACTGGTTTGCACACACCTCTTTTGCACACATTTGTGTGGAAGAAAGGCAGAGAGGGCAAGCGATGGACAGACAAGACCAGAGAGTTTACAGAGAAAGAGAAAGCAATAGGAAGAGGAGACTGCTGTAGGCATGCCAAAGGTATCAATGCTAGGATTTCTTTTTTCTTTTTTCTTTTAAAAAAAATATATTTTATTGATTTTTTACAGAGAGGAAGGGAGAGAGATAGAGAGCTAGAAACGTCGATGAGAGAGAAACATCGACCAGCTGCCTCTTGCACAGACCCTATTGGGGATGTGACCGCAACCAACGTACATGCCCCTGACCGGAATCGAACCCAGGACCTTTCAGTCCGCAGATGGATGCTCTACCACTGAGCCAAACCGGTTTCGGCTCAATGCTAGGATTTCTGAAGATCCTTCCTATGATGCCTTATCTAGGACAACAAGGTCATTCTTTCCAGTCTGAAAAATGAGGCTTTTCGATACCCATCACCTAGTGAATGTTCCTGATCTTCAGACCCGCAGTATGAGTGTCCAACATTAGAGCTAGAAAAGACTCTGGCAACTCATCTCACCTGTCATTTAACAGAAAAAAACCTGAGACCAAAGTGATTAAAAGACCTGCTCAAGGTCACCAAGCTAATGAAACCATGGATGCCTGAAACAACAACAAAGCCATTTATCCATATGAATCACAGTAACATTAACAAACACTATAATGCATTTAAATAGGTATAAATATGCTAAGAAACCTATTCATTTAATTCACTGGTAGAGAATTTCAGTATAGACTTCAGAAAAAAGATTTCTATAGCCTCTTCACCTGCTCAGCTATGCAAGTAAAAGACCTTTAAAAATGACCTAAAAAGACTTAAAAATAAAATAAAAAATGAATTGTTTCCATCCTCCCTGGGATTTCATAATAAGAAAAAGTTGTCTAAGAATGAGCTGGTAACCCTTCCTTGCCACAAATATCTCGATATTGTTTTCTTGAAGTGCTTACACTGGAGCCCCAAAGCAATTTCCTTGGTTATCTGTTTCACTGACTCTTCTTTGTTTAAGATAAACCAGGAAGCCAAGACAAAGCAAAGTACTCTTACTTACTGGCTTTCAAATAAAGAAACAAGAGACTTTCTTTTCCTCAGAGCTGAATAAATGTGTGTGGTGTGTGTCTGTGGCGTGTGAAATAATTACAATATTTTTTTTTTATGACATTCGTAGGTGTCTTATGTGATTCTCATGGTTACTATTTTTACAAAGTATGAACTGGGGTATTCATTCAGCATTTACTTACTGCCTAAATGTGCCTAGAACTTTGCTAGTCACTCAGGCACAACATGGAGACAAAAAGAATACAAGATAGTCTGTGTCCTTAAAATATCTGCCAATCTAGTCGGGAAACCATGAAAAATTAAATTAAATTTTTCTAGACCTTTTCTTTATATAGCGGAGCAGGTAGAGGGACCACAGAGGAGAACAGAGAGTGAGAGCCATGCCCACTGGGACAGAAGAGGAGGTTTTGTGGAAGGGGTGGCCTGTAACCCTCGAAGGAGTGGGAGGATCTGGGAAGAGAAGCAGAGGTAGAAGTGAAAAAGGGAAATGCTGTTCAAGATTAGGTGGGTTGTCCCAGCAGAGGGGGGAGAGGAGGCGGGGAGAGGCTGAGGAGGGGAACAGAGAGGAGGAAACGGTGAGCAGTAAGTCCACACACTTGGCGTAGGAGCCAAGGAAATGTCAATGCGGGTTGAACAGGAAGGAGAGACAAGACTTCGAAGTGTTAAGAAGTACTGACTTTATCTTGTAGTGTTTTGGAAACAGATTCATGCAAAAGAAAAGGAAAATAACTTGATTGTTAGCAGTTGCTGATTTCCATGGTGTAAATACTTCCACTCTGGCCCACTTTCAGATGACGAATCACAAAGTCCTAAATATTTTAAAATCAGCATATTGATTTTAGCCCATTCTCAAAACACAGGTTGAAACATCACCCAGATTTCTCCGTAGGGGAGTGACAAAGAAAACACAGCCCAATCAGTAAGTTCCAATTGACAGTGGCAGAAGAAAAATGGCAGTTTGTAGTTGGGAAGGTATATTGGAATTTTATTAAAATAATCCAATTATGTCCTTCCCCCAGCCTCCCCTACCCCAATAAGGGGTAGGGGAGGCTGGGGGAAGGACAAAAGGGGGGGGGGGAGATATATGTACTAATATATGTAATACTTTAAACAATAAAAAATAAAAATCCAATTATAAGTTGAATGAGTCAGCTGATCACAATTCAAATTGTAAAAAAAAAAAGAGAGAGAGAGAGAAAGAGAGAGAGAGAGAGAGAGAGAGAGAGAGAGAGAGAGAAGGGGGAGAGATATTTGGGAAGAAGAACTCCATAGACGGTGAAAAAAAAATAAGGCAGAAGGGATATGAAATGATTCTGGCTTCTTCTCAGTCCAGGTGATAGGGAGCAATAATGCATCACTGATGTGGAAGCAGGGTACTGAGTGCATTTTACTACTGCTTTAAACCAATAACTAGTTTTCACTCTAAAACACACCACTGAGAAGCAGGGGTATAGTCTTCGTATTTGGGGGACCATAAACTGAGGCCAATCAATGGAAGATCACCTGGCCAGTCAGGAGCCTGTGAGGCCTCGAAGTCCCACATATGCCATCATGAATAATTCTCAGAAAAAGGAAAGTGCAGAGAGGCCTAGGACAGCCACACACACACACACACACACACACACACACACACACAGGCCCACAGTATTCTGCCCTGAAAGAGTACAACTAGCAGAACTCAGAAATGTCAAGTAAGAACTTTGAATAAAACTAGAAACCACCCACTGGCTCAGAGGTGTAATTCCCCTCGCTATGAAAACCATAGTGGGCCTGACCTTTGCTAGCATGGGAGGGTGGAGAAAATTTTGCAGATTTACCAGCATGGAGCATTTCTCTTCATCTTTCGGTAGAGCTGACAGGGAATGCCACATCACAGGCACATCACATTGGTGTATGCTTTGACCAGGACTAAAAGTACCCGGCACGAGGAAAGGCTAAATTGCTGTGGGACCACTGGTAAAGCCAACCTTTAAGCATCAGTCTCAAAAACAGAGTCAGTTAGCAGGTCACCAGCCCTCACACCAAGGACCCAAAGCAACCTACAGAGGAGCCACAAGCCTGAAGGCAGAGGTGATGGATACCCATCCATTAAGACAACTCACTCGGGTGGAAAAGGAAGCTCACTTACAGTAACAGAGCAAGAGAATCTCCAAATATAAGGGATCAGATGCCAGGAAAGGTGGCCAAGCCTGCATCGCCGGGCTCTGGCTGGGTTCACTGGCCAGGGCCTGCGAGCTGGTCTCTGGGCTCTCCCAGGAGCAGAGAGGTTGTGGGGCTGTAGGTCAGTGTCAAGTTTCAGCCCCTCCAGGACAGATCCCTTACCTTCAGACAGGGGCAAGTCATCAGCTGGAGACACCAGGTCTGCCTGAGAAGCTAGGGCTCCACTCAGATGGGTTGTAATTTGATTCGTCAAGATAACCTGTGAACAGACAGGGAGAAGGTGGGGGGAAAGGGAGAAGAGAGAAGACCAAATTAATTATTAGAGCTCTCAAAAGGCAGACTGTGGCTTGGAGGAAGACTGATAAGTACACAGGTAGGAAAACCCCCTTGCGGACTTTCATCAGTTTTATCTGCAGGCCTCTGTGTCTGGCAAAGCCCACAGGTCATTCACAGCACAGGAAACGGGCTGTCTTTCAGAACATAAACCATAATCAATTCTTCCCCAGTGCTGAGGAAGTTGGGACTGAATGATAGAAGGCTAACCAGAAAATTAATACACCAGCGTAAACATGTTATTAAACTTTCATTCTTAAGATTATATCCACAACCCTAGTTACTAGTGCTGAATAAAAGTAATAATTTAAAATTAGGGTATCTGTGGCTTCTTGCCTTGTTAAATTAAAAGTCAGAGTTGTATTTCCAAATTTAAGGATTCAACCCTAAAGGAAGAACACTCTTCTTTTGAATTAATTATATTCTAATAAAAGAATTCCAGTCTCACTATTTACTTAAAACACAAACTAATGTTATCTTACCCGTGCAAAATAAAATTTATAACACTAAAACTTCCCAGAAAAAAAGACTCTAAAAAAGACTCTAAGACCTCATTTATGTGGTCCGTGGCCATGCTATATTTTTATATTTGGTTCAGTTAAAAAACAAAACAAACAAAAACCCTGTTATTTTCCTTAAAAATTCTCACTTATAAAATTTATTCTATTGTTTAGAAACCGACAGGAAAAATGAGATGCAGATTCTCTCCTAGAAAAGCTCGGCATCACCAATACTGATCATTTCCCAAGGTTTGGGCAGAAATAAACCATGAGCATCTTGGTCTGCCAGAGAAAATGTACCTTCTGAAAAGGTTACTAGGCATTTATACCTGAAATTTGCACCTAGCTGGGCTGTCTTGTTCTGTCCCGGAGTCAGTTATGGTTTTGTTATCTTCCTGATTTGAACAGTAATGAAAATCAATTCCATTCTTTATTGTTCAGCTTTTCAGCCACACCTCTGCTGCTGTCTCTTGAATGGCCAGTGACACATTATAAATCCTATGCCAATGGCAGCTTAATTGAGGGCTGAGGCAGGAGCATGATGGTAAGGTCAAGTGACAAAATGAAGGCCTCTATTAGCAAAGACAAGCTCCCCAAGGTCTTTGTGTATCAGCGAGGCTCATGGTCTCCACTACTTTACAGTTCAGCTCAGCTCTTGTAGCATCCCACTGAGAATGTGCTAACCCTACCGCTCAGACTCTTTTATATTGCTACTTTTCATTTGGACCTGTAAGAACCACATATGATATGTCTTCAATTAACATGGCTGGAAATGGTCAAATAACAGTCAGCTCTTATAAGAAACAAATAATCATATTCGGGAGCATGAATTAGGGATTGTAATCATTTCTCTCTTTATAATAAAGGATATGAGCTTTGGAGTTCAATAAAATTGGGTTCAAATGCTGACTCTGATCCTGTGAACCTTAGAAAAGGTACTTAAACCTTGGAGCTCTGTTTGTTCATAAGTAAAATAACATCTTATAGAATTGTTTTGAGAATTAAATTAGATAATCCATGTAAGGTACTTAATGCAGTGTCTGTCACAGAGTAAATATTCAATAAGTAGAAGCCACTATTATTTCCTTCAGAATGATGCTGTATAGATGAGTGACTTAGTATAATATATTGCTTAAAACACTACATCATGATTTTCTACATCAGGATATACTTTAGTACTTGATCATTTCTACTAATATTGGTTCTAAGTTTTATGTAATTAAAATAATTTATGTAAAATTCTCAGTAAGAAAAAGATAGTAATCATTAAGCAAGACCAATAGGATCTGAAAATACTATGTACTTTATCTACCACTAAAATCTGTCTGTCCTAGTAAACAGAACAATGAGGAATTTCTGAGAGATCTAAATATGGTAAGTTCTTTTTTAAAAGGGGTTCTTCTAAAAGATGGATTGGTGATAATAAATAGAGCTCTAATGATAGACTAACTGTAATAAGATAAAAATTTATTGAATACCTACCTTGCTAAGCATGTCATAATATACAAGATGAAAAAAATAAAGATGTGAAACTTGTATGTTAAAAGATAAGGCACCTGCTAAATATTCAGACCACTGTTTCTCACCTTTATTATTTCATTGGTCCTAGAGAGGAAACTTGTACTGATATGGCTTTATAGCACATAACTATTAAAATGATACCCTTCACAGCCTAAAACCAAACTACTCTACAGATGTACCTCAAAAGATAACCACTTTCAGTTCCACTCCCAATGGGAGAGTGGATGGAAAAGGAAACATTTTTGTTGCCCAGCAGCAAGAGAACAAGCTGCTAAGTGGTTTTGCTAAAAATCCTCTCCCTTTTCATTATTATTCCGAAATCCAAATCACTGAAGGTACGAAGCAACCAAACTCGGGGAGTTGCTAATCATACGATCTTCCTGAATTGTGTTTTTCTAAATCTAAGTACAGCAAAATGATGGAATGGAAACATTTCCAAATAGTATCAATGGGCAAATAATCACAACTTGGGCAGAAGACTATAGATGTGCTGGCCTCTAAGACAACCAGGACACTTGAAAACTACAGCCTTAAAATAACTTATAAAACACTATTGCAAATTATCAACCGTCTTAACATTATCTGGTTTCTGGCAACAAGTTCTGACTGACATTTTAAGGAGCTTTCCTGCTGCTTTGACGGCCTTGGAAATACTGGAACCTCTCTCGCTTGGTACCAGTGATTAGGGTGAGGGCTTTGTAGTCAGACAGACCTGAGTTCAGATCCGGGGTTCTACCAATTACTAGCTGTGTGTCATTGGGCAAGTTCATAACCTCTCTGGGTGTGATCATACTTAACTCACTGGGTTTCTAGGATTAAACTGGGTAATGTCCTTTGCATGATGCCTGGCCAATGGAAAATACTAAATGTCAGTCCCATCGTGTCTTTAATTATTCTTTGCCAATTTGTACCTTGCCTGACCACCTTTTTGTACAGCATACAGCCCACTGCTGACAAAGAACAAATAGTTGCTACTGATATATTCTAAAAGCAACAAAAATTTAATTGAAATTGCACCTGCCATTTCTCTAAAAGTATGGCTTATTTAAAACATACAACACCCTCCTCCATCCCCACCTCACACATACTATCACCTACTACAAACGAAAAGGCTAGAGTGTACTCTCGGACTCCTGAACCAAGGGGAAGAAATATTCTTTTAAATAGTTATGATTACCTAGTTTACTCTTCGGGAAGAAGAGTACATCCACCTTCTGGGGACAGTAGGAAGCCTGGTTAAGTAGAGTAACAATTGTCTCCACTCAGCTTTCTATGTGGAGGGACCACTCACTCCAGGGCCTCCTTGCACTGCTCTCTCGGTTGTAGGATGCTGCAGGTACATTTGAATAGGAAATAGCCCCTTGTATCATGCCACACGGCCCTTGAGTCTCATTTTCAGAATTCCCCTCCAAAGGCAAACAGGGGATGAGGGGAGACTTCTCCTTTCAAAGACCATGCCCCTGGGCTCCAAGTCTTCCGTTTCCTAGGTCCTCTAAATGCATCCTACTCCACCCTTCTGTATAGAGCAGTATAACATCTATATTCAGTTCAGAACCATGAAGCTCTCTAAGGAAGAAATTTCAGAGTACAGATTCATAAATACCCAATATATGTATCATCAGCTAGAGAAAAGAAATGAAGAGACAAGAACCAGTAAAAGAGCAAATGACTTCGTAAGGCAGGTGGGTGGTGGGAATGAATGCCATTTTGGTCAGAAGGAGTAGGGATGAAAAACCAGCCAACACACAAGCAGACAAAAATATGTGACTCATTTCTGCTAACTATCAAAAAGATAGCTTACGAGAGCAAGTACATGGAGAGAAGAGGGTAGGAGCAGAGTGTGCTGGTCAGCAGAACCATCAGCCCCGAGGGTCATGGGCTGGTGAGCTACAGTCTACTAACTGATGGAGCTTGCCTCTCCACTAGTCTCTGTGTCTGATGGGGACCCATCTTTCCTCAGCCATGCTATGACCAGACTATATCTAGGCTATATCCACAACCTACTCACACCTCCTGCTCCTGGTCCAGAATACATCCTGCCTTATTGGGCCATGTATGTGTCTAGTCTGATCCACCCTACACTGAAGTATGTGGGAGTATCTTTGCTGGGACCTCCATGAATAGCTATCTGGTATATTCAACCCTCTGTGGACAGGAGAGAAAATGGGACAGCCCTGGGACAATGGGAGCCTCTAAGGAAGGAAGCTCCTTTTATTTGACTTTTGGGAGGTGGCAGAGAAGAGGGAGATTGTGCTCAGCCAGGGACAGAATAGGCTGGAATGGGCTACCTGGCCCTGTTTGCTCCACAGAAGAGATATTTATGGTAAGCAACACAACTCAATATTGTCAAAGGTTTTTTAAGGACCCACAAACGTGTCCTCATTCCGCTTTCTGTGTAATCCACACCTTCCATAGCATGAACTATAATCACCTGTCTGAGATCAATAGTTAAAAAATCACTCAGAATAGGGATATGCAGGCCTCCCTGCCCACTCTCCCTCCCAGGAAGCACTGGGCAGTGAGAGGGAAGAACTCCCAGCCCAGACCTAGGGACAGGTGAGCTCTCCAGGCCTCAATGTCCATGGCTAGAAAAGAAGATCCAGGAATACACGAAAAAAAATCATCAAAATGCTACACAGTAACAAGCCAAATCTTGGGACAAGAGTCCTGGACTCTGACACTCATAAATGCCCGTAAGTCAAACCGGGAAAGAGCTTCAGCATCTTCAGAAGTGCCCAGCATTGGAGGCAATCCTAGTTGAATGCTGCTCATCTTTTTGGTGGATTTTCAGTGCCCTAAGATGCTTGTGGCATGTCACTCTCAAAGCCCACCAAAGGCTTGAAAACGAAAACTTTTCATGGAACTCCTGTCTGTGTGCAACCCAGTTTTAGGGCTAGGCTAGGCT